AAATTTGCATGTTACACAATTTGCAAACTACGGATTAATACCCGTGTATAAACACCCGTGTAAATTAAGAAATTTTCTTTATTATTATAATACTGTAATACAAAAATTAATCTTTTTTTTTTATTAATTTGGTCCTTTTTCTTAGAACACACTAGAACACAGTTTATATAGTTCGTGTTTATTCGATTTTATTTATAACGAAAGAAAGAAATGGCTATTATCGATTTAAATTTTGTACCACTACTAATATGTAAATATAGATTTTGACTGAGATAATAAATTCCTATGTCTAATGAGTGTGGAAAAATGGGGTCAAAAAATTTTTTCGTGGTTAAATATCCTACGTATAACAAATAAATAAGGTTTATAAAAACTAAATAGTATTGATATTTTTGTAGCCAACTTGTAAAATATTTGCTTGAGAGAATAATGTGATATCACCACTGTATCAATATTCTCAAACACCATTTAAATACCTTACGAATTCTGTTTGCAATTAGACGATTCTTAGTTTATCATTTTAACATCCATTTAAGATTTAGAGAGTAAATTAATAAAAATCATTTAGTGTAACCCATATCGATGTAATTAGAGATGTTGTAAAAGCAATACTACATATTTGATTGAAAATTTTTCTTTTCGTAATGAAACCGCAAGAACTAAACGTCTAATTAGGGATTGGACCTGGGTACGTAGAAATTGTTACTATACGATTACCCGAAATATATAATAACTTACATAGAAATTTTCTTAACGGGTCCAATCTCTAAGATTAACAACCGGGTTTAGGGTCCCTCGCACTATGCGATGCGATTACTAATTTAATAAAAATTAAATATAAATTTCTATATATATTTTCGAGTCTCATTTACCTTTTAAATAAAATGGATGATGGATTATAGACGATAGGAATTTGTCTTTCTCGTTTAGTTACTCTCCTAAACCTTAGATTATCGAAAGCCAATCAAAGCCCGGTAGATCGTTCTAGAAATGTTCTAGAATCGATCTCCGGTAAAAATCCTCCCTGACTGAAATAATCGCTCAGCAAACTTTAAATGTCAACGATACAAAGCGATATATTACCACAGATGACTGAGCAAATTTCATTACAAGATGGTAAGTTAAAATCTTACTGTAGTTTTTAAAGTACTCATTATTGTATCTCTAACATTAAATTTACGAATTTTTTACGCCAAGAGTAGATATAGTATATGTTGACGAGACCAATGGCGCCGATGATTCTGGTGATGGAACCCAAGATAAGCCTTATAAAACGATTGTTTACGCTCTTCAAGTAAAA